CTAATGACAATACATGACCAGATGAAATGATCACGTTGATGCAGATGAAAATGAATTGAAAAAGAAAATGCAATACAAATTAGGTAGGAAAAAATTGGGATATGACACACTCCTCAACACAATGGTCTTGTTGAAAGAAGAAATATAACTTTGCTTGATATGACAATAAGCATGCTTGAAAGAGAGGAATTTGCATCATACATTGTGAGGTGAAGTTGTTGCCACGTCAACATATGTATGATAACTTCTTGGCAAGTGTACTGATAATATTGCAGTAATAAAAAAGATCGAACCCACAAGGACTGTGTTCGAACAGAACAATGATTTGTGCAATATTAAATAAAAACAATAAAAATGGGGGTTTTGTAAACTTTCAGTGCAAAAAGTAATAAACGAGGAAACTATGTCACGAAGGCGGTTAGATTGTGTTTTGGAATCCATTTATCCCCTCTTTTTGATATAAGATGCCTTGTATGAATTATCTTATCCTTATACTTTTACGGTGAATTAACAAAACCGTTATAGTCACTCCCCTATGAAATAACTCACTAAGAATTACTTGGAGCTTTCTATCTCTAGTCCGCCAATGTAAGCAGTGTTAGACGATGTACAAATTGTTAATTCCCTGTGCCACTACTCGAGGTCTCTTATCCCTATTAAAGCGGCTTAAGAAGAACAGTTGCCCTAGGTCCAATATATAAGCTACGAGTCAGGAATCCCTATGTATCTAACAACAAATTAAAAAAGTATCTCAAATAATAAACATTAAGTATAAGAAACATTTGAATAAAATTATAATTCAAAGGAAAGTTACAGTACCAATTGAATAAAGAAGAATAACATATGAATTTCCTTGAAGGATTGGCCTCCCATGGCTTCAAATGCTCTCAAAATCACCCTTTGATGTTGTAAAATCGTGCTCCCAGTGACAAATTTTGTAACCCCTGTAAAAGTGCAGAAAATCCCCTTTTAAAGCTGTTAGAACGGGTTAGAACGCTTCAGAAAAAGAAACCATCACGCACATTATATACGCAACGTGTACGTGATGCACCTTTTGCTTTCCTATCGCGCACGCGATGCTGCGTGTGATTATTCGAGTAGTTGCGTGTTTTTTCACCCTTTTCCACCAAATTTTTTACCAAGTTCCATTCTTCCATACTTGGATATTTTTCACTTATTCTCGGGTCTTACTTCAACATTTTTCCTCCTCGTTTGCTCATTTTCCCCAATTCTTTGACTGATTATATGTAATGATGGACTCTCATCAATATGCTCAACAGATGTCCAACTAAGACGTTAAAGGGAATTGTTCCTATTGAGAAATGGATTGGAAGCAAGCAATGCGTGATCCATATAAATGTGTTTGGTTCTGTTTGTTACAAACATGTTCCAGATGCTAGGAGAAAGAAGTTGGATGACAAAAGCAAAGTCGTGTTACTTATAGATTATCACAATACATGTGCTTATAAGCTCTAATGTCCAGTTACCAACAAAGTTGAATTCAACAGAGATGTTGTTGTGAAAGAATTAAAAACATGAGATTGAAATTAGTCTCAATTAAACTCTGGTGCAGTAATAACACCTAAGTTATGCTCTAAAGGTATTTCTACCTTTAAAGATGAGTCAGAGTCTGAAGGTGACTCTGAGTTTGAAGGCGAACTTAACGTTGAAGAAGACTCTAAAGGTGAGTCTAACTATGAAGGTGAATCTAATGATGATTCAGATTCTGATGATGGTTCAGACTCTGACAGTAATCAAATATCTGATGGTGGTTATGCATTTAAAGGTGGACCTGTCTCTAAAACTAGGCCATAGATAATTCGACAAATTCCAAAAAGGCTCGCAGATTTTGAATTGCTGCAAGATACTACGATTTATTCTGAAAGGGAAGTTATTCAGTATGCTATGATGGTGGAATCTGAACCTGACAGTATAAATGAAGCGCTTAAGAAGAAAGTGTGGTTGAAGGCTATGAAATAAGAACTTGAGGCAATTGAAAGAAACCAGACATGGGAGTTGACTATGTTGCCCAAGGACAAGAAAGCCATCAGTGTCAAATGGGTATATAAGACAAAGGTGAAACCAGATGGGTCGATTGCTAAGTACAAAGCAAGGTTAGTAACTTGATGCTTTCTGCAGAAGTCTAGTTTAGACTACTTTGAAGTGTTTGCTCCTGTACCTAGACATAAAACAATCAGACTAATGATTGCTATAGCTGCAAAAAGAAACTGGTCTCTGATGCACTTAGATGTGAAGTCATCCTTTCTGAATGGTCCTTTAGAAGAGGAAGTTTATGTGTCACAACCTTTTAGATTTGTGAAAAAGAATTAGGAAAGGATGGTGCATAAGTTGCATAAAGCTTTGTATAGACTGAAACAAGCTCCAAGAGTTTGGAATTTGAAAATTGATTAATTTTTAAAGCTTCAAGGATTTAGAAAGTGTGACATGAAGTATGGTTTATATGTTCAATATACTTCTGATCAAAATATGATTTTGGTATGTCTCTATGTTGATGACATATTGTTGATAGGGAGTTGTATATCTGAAATGAACAAGTTCAAGAAGGTGCCGATGAATGAATTTGAGATGAATGACCTTGAAAATATGGTATATTTTCTAGGGATAAATATTTTGCACTAACTGAAGTATAAACTTGAGCTACTGAAGAGATTTGACTTGATGAATTGTAAGTCAGCAGTCACACTGATTGAGAGAAATCATAAGCTGGATTTCGTTGATGATGGTGAGGATGTAGATGCTACAACCTTAAAACAATTAGTTGGATGTATGGGATATCTGTGTAACATTAGGTCTGACGCAGTTAGAATGATGAGTCGGTTTATGAGTAAACCAAAGTGGTCACATTACCAAACTGCAGTCAAGATACTAAAGTATGTAAAAGGAACTCTGAAGTATGGCATTTTGTTTCCATCTAAAGGGTGAGATGATCCTGACTTGATATGCTATTCAGACTCTAACTGGCGTGGAGACAGAGTTGATAGAAGAGCTGCTATTATATCTTTTCCTCTCTCTTTCTTTCTCTTCCATCTTCATCTTCTTCAAGCTTCTTGTGCATCAATGGAGGTGTAACTCCAATAACAATTATACATAATATTTTTGTTGAACTCAAGTGTGAATGATTAAGTCTCGGATCAATTAGAAATAATGAAAATGTTAAATTTATAATAGAGATGACTCATATACTCGATGTCTTAAGATTTTAAATGGATATATGGTGTCAAAACCTTTTGAATCTTGAAATTAAGTTAAAGTATTTCAGTACTAATTAAACCTATATTTTATTAATCAATTTTGTTATTTTATTAACCAACAAATATTAATTATTTATTTTAGAACATTGTAAATTGATCAAAATACATTGCCCGCAATTTGGTGAGATTTAATGACACTATTACGTCTCTTTCTTATGTTTTCTCTTTTATTACAGTTGTCGTTTCTATTGCGGGCAATGCTACTGCTGTTGGTCCTCACCTTTCTATGCACGGTTTTGAGATTATTAAGAGGTTTAATGTTACAATTCGGCCACCCCGTGCTCCGAACATTTTGGAGGTGTTTTGGAAACCCCCTTCTTGGAATTAGATTAAGTTGAATTGTGATGGTGCGTCCATAATTTCAACGGATATTTCTGTTTGTGGTGGCATTTCTAGAGATAAAAATGACTCTTTTTTGGGTGTTTTTGCGTCTCACTTAGGTGTTGTGGATTCTCTCATTTCCGAACTTTCGGGATGCTATGATAGCAATAGAGTTCGCTAATGAGAAGAATTAGAGTAATATTTAGTTGGTATCGGAGTCGACAACTGTGGTTAGAGTTTTCAGTCCCTTTTGTGTGCCTGGGATGATTAGGAGTAGATGTCTAAATTGTATAAATTTAGTTTCTAATTTAAATTTTGTTGTTTCTCACATTTATAGAGAATGAAATAGCTGTGCAAATGCTCTCGCTAACTTTAGGTCTCATATTGTCTAATACTACTTTCTTTTTGTCAATAACTCTATGTATTAAGGCTGATTTTGTAAAGAACATACTTGATTTGCCTTTCTTTAGATTTACTTAACCTTGAGAGGATTTTGGTCTAGTCCCGTCTTTTTTTTCTTCATCTTTTTTTATATTTTATAATCTAATTAAAAAAATAGAAAATAAGTCTTGTATTTTATTATTAATAAAATAATAAAAGTGATTAATAAAATATATTAACAAATATTTTTGTGGTTAATAAAATTTAAAAAAATATTAGTAACACAAATTTATACATATCATTAAAAGAATTCTCTATATTTTTAATTATAACATTGCTATTTTTACACCCACACTTACACCTACACCGTATATACTGTTCACAAATACGATGAACAGTATCGTGAACAGTGAAACTATATATAAACAGTAACACAAACAATGCACGAATAATGTCATGTGAGCAGCGTACATGTACAGTGCGTGAATAGTAATTTTTTATAGTAAAATAAAATTGGTTAATGAAATGTAAAAAGTTGGTTAATGAAGTTATAAACTTGGTTAATAAATGTCCAGATACTAAAAATAGTTTTAATAGTAAAACAAAGTTGGTTAATGAAATGTAAAAAGTTTGTTAATGAAATTATAAATTTGGTTAATAAACGCTCAAATATAAACATAATTTTTAGTAGGAAAACAAAGTTGATTAATAAAATGTAAAATATTAGTTAATAAAATTATGAAGTTGGATAATCACAAAATACTCTTTAATTTAAAATTAAAAAAATAATTTATATATATTTTTTTAAAAAGTTATTTTATTATTATAAAATACGTTGTAATATATATTTTGGTGTAGAAATATCATTTTTCTTTTAATTAAGAAATTACTATAGAAAAAATTACTGTTACTGTCCCATTTTAGTCAAAAATTGTGTTTAAATAAAATTATTGTATTTATAATATCCAGGTTTATCATCAAAGTTTTAACTGCAATGTTATCTTATCTTTGATCTCTTTCGTTGAAATGGCAGCTACTACTATTGCTGCTCTCCGGTTTCTTCCCCCAAACCCCACTTCCAGAAAAACACCCCACTTCTTCTCTAAACCAAATGTCGCGTCACTGCGTTCATTCTCCCATTCTTCTCCATTGTTTTCTCTATCTCACAAATTCCCTCTCTCTCTACCTCCCTGCAAATGTTACTTCACTGCCCCTGTTTCCACTTCAACCTACCAGGTACTTACTTTCTAGGATTTTAGGATTTTAACCTAGAAACGAAATTCCCCATTGTAAAAGCACTTTAATTTGAATTTACTTTCTTTTAGCATTTGAGTTTCATTTTTAACCGATGGTAACTAACAAGGTATAACTAAATGCAGTTTACTGATGGTGGTTCTGAGATGGAGTTAAGATTACACATAGGAGACACGGATATAATAAGCACTAAAGACATATCTGTTGATGCAGACGATACATCGATATCTATCACTGTATTGCGGTCGGGATCTCCTGTTACATTGATACAAACTGATCCTCTTTTTGACAGGATTAAACCCTCTGAGACAATATGGTTTGTGAAAATTAAACTACATTCTAAAAATTGTTTAGGTTTTTTTTGGTCTTTTAGCTTTTGGTTAGTTGAATGGTTCTGATTTGGGCAGGTATATAGATGATGATCATCTTGTTGTGAATTTCAAGAAACACGACCCGGAGTTGAAATGGCCGGACATCATGGAATCATGGGAATCACTTGCTGCTGGATCATCGCAGCTTTTGAAAGGAACTTCAATTTATCTTGTTGGCGATTCCACTGAAATCAACAAGAAAGTGGCTGAAGTGCTTGCTACTGGCCTCGGGTATGTTTAAGTCCGTGTGCAATTCCTATGATTGATGTGTAACTTTCACTAGTGGCTCACAAATCTCTAGTGTTTGATAGTGATATTCTTCTCTTCTCAGATACACGCCGCTTAGTACACAAGAGTTGCTGGAATCTTATACCAAACAAACCGTGGATTCATGTAAGTGCTAATGTCATTGCTAGTTTGATATGCCTTGCTCTTTCTTCCTGTTCTATGACATCGCTTGATAGTCTCTTTCTGTATAGTATGCATATGTAATATTATTAAAGAACTGTAGGATGAATAGTGTGAGTGCCCCCAGTATTGTCTTAGAAGATAAGATATTGTGTTTTACTTCAATTTTAGTTACTAAAGTTTTATGGAAACTGCCGAGTTTTGACACTACAAGTTTGTTGCCATTCTTTGTGTTACTTCTACTGATAAAAATGTGTTACTTGCAACCTTGGGAAACCTTGGCCCAAGGTTCATCTTTAAGCTCTATTTGTGAAGATTCCTGAATAATGTATCTTGTAGTGTATTAACAAGCGTAATCGAATTCTAGGGCTGCTTGCTGAAGGTTCTGACACAGTAGCCGAAGGTGAAGGCGCGGTACTTGAAAGCATAAGTAGGTAAGTTAATTGCTTGATTTCATTTTCTGGATACCTTTTTTGCTGGGTACTAATGCATTTTTCCCACTGTTGACTGGTCTCCTAGCCATGTAAGGACAGTAGTTGCAACATTAGGAGGTAGACATGGTACTGCTGCAAGATCTGATAAATGGAGACATCTTTATGCAGGATTTACTGTCTGGTTGTCACAAACTGAAGCATCAGGTGATTTTTGATATATTCTCTTTTTTTTTTGTAAGATATGACTTCATTTCTAGTCCAACATTTCAACCTTGCTTTGAACCTTCAAAACAATAGATGATTCACTTGAGCCTTGATTTTGATGAAACTTTTACCATTATAAAGGCTATGTGTTGGATGGAGAGTTTGCGAGGAGAAATGAGGGAAAAGTGCGGAAGCCACATTTGAATCAATCTTTGTTTGGAAGTTTTTAAAAATGGAGGGAGGGAAATACTGATAAGTTACATGTATCTACCAATAACCTTTCCTTATTGATTTTTATGAACATCATGTTCTACCAATTTGGAGGAAGAAGAACTTTGGAAGATTTTAAACATTCAAACAAGGGGAAAGAAACTTAGTAAGCGTCTGTTTAGATTGACTTATTTGAGCTTATCTAGTGCTTATGTAACAAGGGGAAACAAACTAGGACATGTCCATAAGCGGTTTTCAGCTTATTTCCATAAAACTCGTGAATAGGTTATGAAAAAAACTTAGAACTTAATGAAAACATGTTGTCTTTATTTTACCTTTTGTTATAGAAATGGCATATTACATAAGCACTTACATTATTTTGATAGCATATTTACTTCAGCCTATTGTTTCCAGTAAATATTGGTTTTGATGCCATGATATACAGATGAAAATTCTGCAAAGGAAGAGACACACCGAAATGTCAAAGATGGCATAACTGCATACACAAAATCAGATGTTGTTGTCAAGCTACAGGGATGGGACCCTGACTATGCTAAAAGTGTGGCACAGGGATGTTTGAAGGCCCTAAAACAATTGATCTTATCAGACAAGAAACTTCCAGGTACATGTGCCCATTTGTTTCTAAATCACATGTCCCTTTAGGCCTTAACACATCCAATCACAAACTCATATTGGGGCTGGGAAAAGTAGCACCCGAATTTATTAGCCCGTATTTATCGTGCAGGTAAAAAAGGCTTATACATAAGATTGGGATGTCGTGGTGATTGGCCGAACATCAAACCCCCTGGTTGGGATCCATCAAGTGAAGGCGGCGAAACTCTCGGCACACAATAATGGTGCTTGTAATAATGATAGGCGAGTACATCAAATATGTCAACTGTTCAAGAATTGTTATAGTCATCAAAACCAAAAAGAAAAGATGCCGAGACTTAAAATGCAAATGTAACACTATCAAGTCTCTTAAGAAGCAATTTCATATATGTATCATGAAGTATGCAATATCATTCCCCTCCAAACTGTTACCAATTTCATATGAAATTTGTTGTGAAATTTTGAATTAGCTTTTACAACCATAGTTGCAAAAGAAAACTCTAGTTGGTCAAAACTACTTTCAATGGTAGCAGTTTCTTTTTGTTCCATCATTGGTAGTATATCATCATGGAACATAATTCATGTGCTCTCTACATAACCTAAAAGAAGAAACAATAAGGCATAGTAACTAATTTAAAAATGTGTAATATGTCTCAAATTGGTTATTGTATGATGAAGAGGGGTGATTCTAGCAATACTGTAAAGGCATAACCGACTTGGAGGTTTAACCAGTTGAAGTTACTTGAGTTATTTGATGGCAATTTAAACCCAGTTTAAACAATTTAAAACAATTGAATCATGCACCCAGAAGTACAATGTTTAGTCTTGTTTAATCATAGTAACATGAGAAACAATGTTTAACAGCCAAATCAAAGAAAATCTATGTGTTGATTTTGTTTTCAGAAACTGCTTCTCTTCCATCTTCAGGCATGAGCAGTATTCATTACATAATACATAAGCCACATATTCTCTTTCATTTTCATACTATATGTCTTTGTGATAGTATATATGAATTTAAGTCTTCCGACAACTTTTTAGGAATCACCAAATCTGCTACATCTCCCCTCAGCATATGCTGAACCTTTACTTGCTTGCCTGCTCAAGTATTTAGCACTTCACACCTTCAGGAGATGCCTGGCCAAGTCCAAACTCCATCTTACAATCACCTTTCAATCACGTTCCATAGTCACATTCAAATGGAAGTTCCATTCACAACGAAATCGTTAACTACAGTGAACAACCTTCCTAATGAGTTTTCCTTCCACTTTTACTGTCAGCCCCTAGCCTATCTCAGACTAGGGAACATCGCCCACAAATGTCTCATAAAGATACCAAAAAATCCAACCATGTTTATCACTTGCACCAACAAACAATAAGTTGAATTATTAATTCCGCAATGCGAATTGAACAATCACTTTAAAATGGAAACAATATAATGAATATCTGATTATCGAAAATTTATTATTAAATCATACAATATGGAAGTTGACAGTACATCCGATCTCCTTACATTTCAAAATAAATCCTTATTAAATTTCAACACCAAACTTAGGCTATAGTTCCAGATCAAAACTGGAAATTAGGACAATAAAAAGAAATTTAAAAAATAAGAAATTTCTCCTAGTAGCAAACAATATCACAATTTCGTGTTGACAATAGTTAATTCCTTCAAGTGAAAGATCTCCACCTTATTATTATAAATTCTCAGTTAGTTGGTGTTGAAACTTCAGCCAGATGTGCAATGCATCGGGTAGCCAATGCCTTTGGTGTTGAAACTCCATCCAATGCCTTTGTAGATTTATTTGCCATTTATATCTACAAGATGATTACCTATATACAAACACACTCAAATCTAAAAGTTCAGGTGAGCAAAATAGAACTCTGTACCTTGAGCAACAAGAATATTTGACAGTCTTATAATATTTAAAACATTAGGAAATACTGACTAGTATAAAGGATCATGAACTCATCATAATAATATAATGTTGACATAATAAAGAATAAATAGTAAGTTAAAATAAGAGTATTCTTTGAAGAGCAAAACAAGTAATCGAAAACAATTACACAAGTGAAAAATGAAAAAAATAAAATCAATAAGCTAAACCAAAAACAAAGTAAAATTACAATAATTTGAAAAGAAAATGAAAAAGCAACAAAAACTAAACAAAAAAACAAAAAACAAAGTAATTAATAAAGACAAGACTTTGAAATTAGCTGGATGCATAAACTCACACAACAAAATATATTTGATAACTTTGAAACTGTACAGAACTGATGGTCCTATTTATATTGTCCTATGTAGAAACCGTAAACCCTAAAACCATAAAGATTCATCTAATTGAATGAATGTGACCGATCTTTGAAATGAAAAAATTTAAGAATTGAGATTTTCTTCTATGGAATTCAACGAACACTTCAATTATGGATTTTGAAACTAAAACCATGCATTATTCATTCAAGGGGTTCAATAATTTTACCTAGTGTGAACCGATTTTCGTGACCTCACCAATTATGAGATGGTGAGATTTCCGTGAAATGTGCTTGATGTCACTTCATCATCTATGACGCTTAAAAGGAAGGGAAAGAAACCTAAACTAACTCTTGTGTGTAAGTGTTATCCTTACAAATGTAAAGAGATCTAGAATCGGGGGTTGATTATACTAAGGGAAGCTATTAACACCCCGAGTATCTATAGTATTTTATAGGAACCTTTTGTACAGTTTTTACTATTAGTCATTTCACCTGCTTAAGTTGTTATCAGTTGATTGAGAAAGTTTCAACCTATGAGTGAGAATGAGAATATGAGATGTTTGGGGAGATTTTGTTTTATGAAAGGTATGTGGACCTAAGGGATTTTTTTTTTAAATGTGTGCTCGCTAAGATCTCGCAATCTTATGCCTATGTATCCTCAAAAGGAAATTGAGAAATCAGAGTGTTCGTAGTTCCACCTAACTATGGGTGAAATTTGTATCTTATTCAAAACCCAAGATGATGAAGCTAAAAGGGTTTTTGTGTATCTTGTTCAAAGCCCAAGATATGAGGCTAAAAGTTTTGTTGGTTTGAAAGAAAAGACAAATTTTCATTCTAAAGGGAGATATCTCACTTATTCATCACAAACACTTGAGAATGATATCATAAGGGAAGAAATTTTGAACTTGGATGTTAAAGAATCCTAAGCAATACCACATCTTCCTTTATGATTATTTGCATGCTAAAAAAAAGAACGTTAACTTGGATATAGTATCAACAAGTATGCCACTTACATTACTTAGATGAAAGAAAATTTTTGAACCATGATAAGAGAGGGACTCCAGCTTACATCACTTATATGGCAAAAGATTTTAATGTTTGATTTTGAATTGTGGTGTATATAAAATATATCTTCCTACAGAGATGACTCAATGTCTTATCTCTGGGGAGAAGTTGATTTATTTGAGTATCTTGTTCAAAGCTCAAGATGTTGAAGCTAAAATATTTGTATCTTGTTCAAAGCCCAAGATATGAAGCTAAAACGTTTATTTGTATCTTGTTCAAAGCCCAAGATGTGAAGGTAAAAAGATTTGTATGCTTGAGAGGAGACTGATTTAACTAGGGGAGTTTTGAATTGATGGTATCTTGTATGAAACCCAAGATGGAGGCTATGATAATTTTAAAAAGCCGGAGGATCCTTGTATGAAGCTCAAGAGGAGGCTGAGGTGAAATTGACTTCATCCATAGAGGAACTAGTGTTTGAACTAAGTTGTAGTTGAGGGAACCCTGATGTTGAACCAAGTATAATCTAAGGATGATGTGTTATAAATGTCAAGAGAAACTTAATATGAACAAGTACATGACAAGTATTTAACAAGTATAGACATGAATTGAAAGTGGAGGGTCTTACACTCTAATAGAGGCCTAAAAGATTTAAAAAGATAATGTGTCTTACACTCTAACAGAGACCAAAAAGATTTGAAAAGGTAATGGGCCTTACACTCTAACAGAGGCCCACAAGATTTGAAAAATGTAATGTGTCTTACACTCTAATAGAGGCTCATGTCTAAGCATGGTTGACTTGAAAAAGAGGTGGGTATTACACTCTTATAGAGACCCAAAGGTTTGAATTTGAATTTGAATTCCACTAAGGCTTTATTTGATGAAAGTTGAAGATTGAGTTTTGAAAGATTGAACACTTTGAGAAATTGAAGAAATTTTTGAGGAGGAGGGTAGAGACTTACCCTCTAATAGAGGCCCAAAAGATTTTTGAAAAGGTAATGGGTCTTACACTCTAATAGAGGCCAAAAGGTTTTGAAAAGGTAATGGGTTTTACACTCTAACTGAGGCCCAAAAGATTTGAAAAGGTAATGTATTTTACACTTTAATAAAGGCCCAAAAAATTTTGAAAATGTAATGGGTATTACACTCTAACAGAGGCCAAAAAGATTTGAAAATGTAATGACATGTGAATGTGAATTAAACAAAGAGATATATTCATCATGGTAAGAGTTTATGATGGAAATACTTGAACATGTGAGCAAAGATTTAAATCTATGGGAGCAATTACAAAGAAGTTCAAGCAAGTATATATATTCAAGATGAATCGAGGATAAATGAACATAATAAAGGTAACAACCAAGCATACTTGAACAAAAATGACATGTTCATGACATCAACATGTGGATGAAGGTGTAAGCATACAAGATATGTCATGTGAGAATACTTAAAGATGACACGTTTAAAGTTTAAACATCATGTGAACAATTTAAGGCATTTCTTGAACATTTAAGCATGAATACAAGTTGAACATGTTAAGGCAAATTGGTAACAACTAAACATGGATACTTAGGGTTCAAACATGGTCATAAGTAAGTGAGAACATCACAAAGGTTTGAGCATACAAGTATGTGTTTACAGTCATTTTCAAGACAAAGTTCAAGTGTATAAGTACACATAAACATGGTAAAAGCAACACAAATACAAACATGGTCAATTGCTCTTTTCCTTTGATTAAAAAATGTATGAAGAAAAACTGGCCAGAAAGATTCTTAGATCTCTCCCCAAGAGGTTTGATATGAAAGTGACTGGTATATAAGAAGCTCAAGACATCAATTATATTAAGCTAGATGAACTTATTGGCTCATTGATAAATTGTTATCAATGAAAAATATGAAAAAGAAAAAGCAATGGTGTTGCTTTCAAAGTTGACGTGGAAGATAACAAGGAGCAAAAAGAAGATAATATTGATGATAACCTATCTAACTCTATTG